TGTCGTCTGGGGTGATAATTTCTACTGATTTTATACTTTTTTTTTTACTGTTTTTGAGTTTTTCGGTTATTTCTTATGTTTTTTTTATTTTTCTTAGACACTGTGCTACTTTTTGTTTGGTTTCTTGTATATTTTTAAGTGTTTTTGGTCACGTACAACTCAGGAAATGACGGGATCATTAATCCCCCCACCCTTCCTGGTTCGTGAATTTTCGGTCTTAACTAGGTTAAAAAGCTATTCACGGGAATCCGGAAGGCTTCCGCGTTCCGAACTACCCTTCCGCCCCGGTGGTTATGGGCGTTGTTTTGAGCATCCGCTCGGCGCAGAGTGCTCATTAACGGTTCTGCCGGTCATGATGTTAAAAAAAACAACACCCAGGAGCGCCATAAAAACATCTATGTAACATTCGCCCGGAAACACATATCGATGAAAAATAAAGCTTAGCTATAAAACGACTGGCTAGCGTCTAAACAAAGCTCTGCATGCTTTTCAATATACATAATGAGTTCATGGCTGGGTCTCAGTATCCCCAGACCACGAGGTCACTCCTAAAAACATGATGCTACTCCAATTACGCTTTCCCGACACTTGCAGTAGTGGTTCCACCTCCATCATCACTTGGTGGACTTCATCATTCTCGTCTACCGCATTGTAATCTGTGACTGTTGACCGTTTCTGCTTCTGTCTTTCAAAGTCACTGAAGTTTCCACTGGCGTATCCCATGAACTTCTTTCCCAGCGTCGATTCTAATTCTTCTTTGGTTCTCTCCGGAACTGCTGAGAAAATGTTGCACAGTAACTCGTAAAATTTTTCTGACATTCTCGCTAGTCTTACGCTAGTCTTACGCACTGAAAAGACTTGCTCCACAATCGTCCTCGTACTTTTTCACATGCTTTCACCGTCTGCCAAAGCCAGTTCTTTTGGTGGGTTTCCTAACATTGGGTCGACAAAAAACGTTACTGTTCTCCGGCTTCGACCAGAACGCTCAAATTAACTCAATTATATGCAAAATAGTAAGCTCATGGCTGGTTTCAGTATCCCCAGACCACGAGGTCACTCCTAAAAATAGGGCTACTACTATTTATTATATTACTATCGTTTTTGTTCAGTAGATGAAATTAATCATCTCCATCGAACATGGGTCAACCCTTTCCCTCAATTCCTAGCTTCTCATTCTCTGAAAATGAATCGGGATGTTAATTAAATTCAACTCAGGGCATGACAAGGCAGCTAAAAGTTTATATATAACAGTTTGAGTCTTGGGCCCGAGACCCCTCCGGGTTCTGGAATCCGGGGAAATAGCACTCCTGTTTCTTTCCGGAAGGCTGGACACGCCGTCCCAACACCCTTCCTTTTTCTCGGGTTCTACGTTGTAAAAATTGTAGCAGCACAATCGTTACAACTCGGAATGGTTCCTGACAATCTCCAATTACAATTTCGATTTGTGTCGTTTTTCTCGTAGTTGTTTCCACTCCTATTGTTGTTCTGTTTCGCCGTTTCAGTGTGTCCGAAATGTAAAAAAGTTACCTGTCGTTCACGTCCAAATCGAAAATTGAAAAATTTGCATTTTAGTTAAAACTGACCCCTCCCGACTTGTCTAATTGTTCGAATAACGTCGCTAATCCATTAAAACAATCAATCTTCCAGGTTATACGTTCTTTTCCTGATCTATAAAATTTCGAAAGTGAAACTGCATTTTCGTACATTCTGGTCGAATGTCCCCTTTTTTCTCAGATTTGTTTCGAGTATTGAGTTATTGCGGTTTTTGGTATCTGTTTTTGAAAAAAAGATGTGGAGTTGAATTGTTTTTTTTTTTAAAAAAAACATATTCATTTACCTTGAAACATTTACCGCAACATTTCCTATTTTGTTGAGACTTGTAATCCAGCGGAGTTGCAATTGCCGAGTGGTTAAGGCGTCTGACTAGAAATTAGTTGTGATCTTCACGCGCAGGTTCGAATCCTGCTGGCTAAAATTCGTACTAGCAAAATGAGGTATTTTGTTAGAAGGGTCATAAGGTATTTTTGTTCAAAGATCTGCTTCGAATATCGAGTTATTGCGGTTTTTGGTATCTGTTTTTTGAAAGAAAAAAAGATGTTGAATCGAACTAAGTATTTAAAATTGACATATACAATTACCTTGAAATACAATTCCTATTTTGTTGCGGTTTTGAATCATTCTCAGCAGCCATGGCCGAGTGGGTAAGAGCGTCTGACTAGAGATCTGATGTGATCTCCACGCCCAGGTTCGAATCCTACTGGCTGCAATACGCACTAGCAAGAGGCGCAGTTTTTTAGATGGGTCAATAGAGTATTTTTTTTCTCAGATTTGTTTCGAATATTAATTTTTCGCGGTTTTTGGTATCTGTTTCTTGAGTTGAACTAATTTAAAAAAAAAACAAATATTTACCTTAAATTACAATTCCTATTTTGTTGAGATATTTACCTCTTCGGAGCAGCCATGGCCGAGTTGTTAAGGCGTCTGACTAGAAATCAGTTGTGATCTGCACGCGCAGGTTCGAATCCTGCTGGCTAAAATTCGTACTAGCAAAATAAGGTATTTTTTTAGAAGGGTCATAAGGTATTTTTGTTCAAAGATCTGCTTCGAATATCGAGTTATTGCGGGTTTTGGTATCTGTTTTTTGAAAGAAAAAAAGATGTTGAATCGAACTAAGTATTTAAAATTGACATATACAATTACCTTGAAATACAATTCCTATTTTGTTGCGGTTTTGAATCATTCTCAGCAGCCATGGCCGAGTGGGTAAGAGCGTCTGACTAGACATCTGATGTGATCTCCACGCCCAGGTTCGAATCCTACTGGCTGCAATACGCACTAGCAAGAGGCGCAGTTTTTTAGATGGGTCAATAGAGTATTTTTTTTCTCAGATTTGTTTCGAATATTAATTTTTCGCGGTTTTTGGTATCTGTTTCTTGAGTTGAACTAATTTAAAAAAAAAAACAAATATTTACCTTAAATTACAATTCCTATTTTGTTGAGATATTTACCTCTTCGGAGCAGCCATGGCCGAGTTGTTAAGGCGGCTGACGAGAAAGCAGATGTGATCTTCACGCGCAGAATCGAATCTTGCTGGGTGCGATTTGTACTGGAAAAATGGACATTTTTAGATGGGTCAAAAAATAGTTTTTTCTCAGATTTGTTTCGAACATTGAGTTATTGCGGTTTTTGGTATCTGATTTTTGAAAGAAAAAGATGTCGAGTTGAATTGATTTCTTAAATTTAACATATACAGTTACCTTGAAATACAATCCTTATTTTGTTGAGATTCTGATTCATTCTGAGCAGCCATGGCCGAGTGGGTAAGGCGTCTGGCTAGACATCAGATGTGATCTTCACGCGCAGAATCGAATCATGCTGGGTGCGATTTGTACTGGAAAAATGGACATTTTAGATGGGTCAAAAAATAGTTTTTTCTCAGATTTGTTTGGAACATTGAGTTATTGCGGTTTTTGGTATCTGATTTTTGAAAGAAAAAGATGTCGAGTTGAATTGATTTCTTAAATTTAACATATAAAGTTACCTTGAAATACAATCCTTATTTTGTTGAGATTCTGATTCATTCTGAGCAGCCATGGCCGAGTGGGTAAGGCGTCTGGCTAGACATCAGATGTGATCTTCACACCCAGGTTTGATTCCTGCTGGATGCGATACGTACTAGCAAGAGGGCAGATTTTTCGATGAGTCAAAAAGTATTTTTCGCCCAGATTTATCTCGAATTTTGAGTTAATGCGGTTTTTGGTATCTGTTTTTTGAAAAAAAAAGATGTCGGGTTGAACCAAAATTTTAAAATTAACATATACACTTACCTTGGAAAAGAATACCTAGTTTTTGTTGATTTTCCCATCATTCGGCGCAGCCATGGCCGAGTGGGTAAGGCGTCTGGCTAGACATCAGATGTGATCTTCACGCCCAGGTTTGAATCCTGCTTGATGCGATACGTACTAGCAAGAGAAGCTGATTTTTCGATGACTCAAAAAGTATTTTTCGCCAAGATTTGTCTCGAATTTTGAGCTAATGCAGTTTTTGATATCTGCTTTCGAGAAAAAAAGCTGTCGAGTTGAACCAAAATTTTAAAATTAACATATACATTTATCTTGGAATACAATAGCTATTTTTTGTTGATTTTCCATCATTCGGCGCAGCCATGGACGAGGTGCTATGGTGTCTGACTAGAAATCAGATGTGATCTCCACGCGCAGGTTCGAATCCTGCTCGTTGCGATTCGCACTAGCGGTCAAACAAAAATGGTTATCTTAAATTTTTATCAAAGGGGGCTTTGGGTAATCCCTGAGGGAAAGACATACCCCCCCCCCCCCCGCTTTCACTCCGTAGTCCGCTACTAAGTGTTACCATGTATGCTTACATCATTTTGATAACTATAACTTTATACGGCTGAAAAACTCTGATAGTCAGGGGCGGATTCAAGGGGGGGGGGGGGGTGGACGCCCCTACCCCCTCAGGGATTCGACCCCCTGCCGACCCAAAGGGTCCCCCTTTGTACTATTTTGAGATATCCATATTTGGTGACGGACCCTACAAATTTTCTAAAGGCGCCTTCGGCGCCAAGATATACTTACTTTGAGGGGGGAGCGCGCGCCAAAAAAAACACAATTTTTTTTTGGTCGAAATTGTCTAAAAAGTGCCTAAAAACGCCTTTTTTGGCCCGTTTTTCAAAATTGTGCCTGCGGCGCAGAAAATTTGACCAAAACTGGGTCTTTTTAGGGCTTTGGGAGAGCTCGGAAAATCAATTCGCTCGACCTTAAAAAAATGTCGACAAAGTTTTCGAAATTTTTTGAAAATCCGCCCCCCCCCCCCCTCGAGAAAATCCTAGATCCGCCCCTGCTGATTGAGCTCTGAAAAATGTTTGCAGGCGGCTTTTTTTTGCTTTTGGTTGACACAAAACTCGTAAATTTTTTGACGAAAAACAGAGAAAGCCAGGCAGCTTGAAAACGGTCACAGTTTCAGAGTCTTCATTTTAGTTGCCACTTGTGATGTCAGCTGGTGTGAGAGTCTATCTCTACCTACCGAAGACGCAAACCATACTTGTGTCCTGCTAGGAGGGAAGAAAGTGTGTCTCTGTGGTGATTATGGACTGTACGCACCACACGGAGTCGGATGCTCCGATAAGCAGGTGAATACCAGACCATCGGACTGTTCTGTAACTTTCAAGTTTCGCGTTGCTAACCTTTCCATTTTCGTTAAAGTCTCTTTTGAAATTATGATTAAACACTTGTTACGGTTAACTCTTACTATTCTTGAGTAGCTATCATGTGTGGCCGACAAAAAACTTCAGTACAGGGGGATTTTAAAAGAAAAAATCATGTCGATACTTCTCGAAACGATGATAACTTTGCATGGGAACCGTCCTATTAGCATGTACGTCCATGAGCATGCCCATGTAAAAGAATGGAGTTGGAAGCTTCGCTATTTCACGTTTTGGTCACTCAAATTTGCAATTTTGAAACATACCCAATCGAAGATTGGAAAAGAGTAATGAACGCAAGTGAGCATATAAAAAAACACTGACTTTCTTGAAAAAATCTCAACTTTCGAATTTCAAAGAAAAAAATAGATGCCATTTAAGCTCTTTGAATTTCTAGAACAATTTATGATTGACACTTTTTCGATAACATGAACCCAACTAGAGAAAACCAGAATAAAAGGTAATTTTTTATTCTGCTGGAAATCTAATAATTAAATTCCTCTTTCGAATCTAGAAATCATTCACTTTTCGCGCCATTTTCACGTTCGTATTTAGAGAATAGTGTTTACGTTAACTTCAGCAGATGAATTTCATTCGAACTCAAAAAGTGCATACATACTTCAGTGCATTCATAAATGCATCAATATGTATGAATGCACATCTGTAGTTATGAGAGACTTTTAAGACTTCTCCTGAAAAAAAAGTTACCAAGACCTATATAAGAGTCTCCACTACGTTCATTACTCGTAAAAGCATGTACTTTACTGAAATTTTAAATAAATGGAACGGAATTTTCAACTCCCCTAAAATATCCATTGGTTTTCAAAACCAACTGAACTCTTACACTAATTTGATTTTTGTTTAAAAGAAAGCCACAGAGTTAAAGTAATTAACGGCACATATGATAATAACTACGGCACCATTTGGCACAGGTAAAAAAACCATTTTAAGTAATTAAAAAGGATAGCCAGTTACTGTGCAAAAGTACCACAAAATGTTGCGACCATCGTCTGTCAAAATCTACCAAAAAAAAAAATTTTTTTTTTTCAAAAATTTATTTTTTTGCGTGGTGCCATAAGAAGATCTGACATAAAGCTTTGAATTAGAAATATTCAACAGTCATCGTAGAATAGGCAAACAACCAGACAACAGTATTTGAAGAAAAAAGACTAGAGAAACAATGAAAAATTTTTAAAAAAAAATTTAAAAAAAAATTAAAAAAAAAACATTTTGCAGAAATTTACTGAATTTTTTAAAGTTTTTTATTATCAAAATAGCATTAAACATCCCCAGAAACTAATTATACTCGAGTGAATTAAAGTAAAGCATAATTAGGCAATTGTAAACGGCCTAAAATACGCATAAATTAGCCTGGTCACTAGCTATTGTCGCTCGAAACAGGACAAAACGTCAAAAATTTCAAACCGGTTTTTCTCGACACTGGGGAAATTTTTTAGATTTTTTTTTGGCTGAAAGAATTTTATTATGATATTTCATTCAACTCAGCCTAATGATTTTGTAGTATCTGATTTGTGTGGAAAACAATAATGGGTCGAATCATGAACTAAAGTGCTCGAATCTTAGACTAAAAGCACAATATACTTGAAAAAAATTACTAAATGATTTCTGTGGAAGTAAGAAGTTATTTTCATGAAGTTGCCTGTTGTAAATTACAAATTCCGTTGGGTTCCTTTGATGCTTTGAGATTTAAGTGCACCCTTGCTACGAATGAATAAATTTTAGAAAGTTTTTCTCTTAAATCAATTCCAGTATATGTTTTTTGTAGCAGATTTGACTCGAGATTCCATTCAACCCTTAATAATTAAAAAAAACATTTTCTCCACTTGATTTCCATTCCATTGACACTTACTCAATATCAAGATGTTCTCGTCAGTAATCTCCCTGAAATTTTACCTGAGAAGTGAAAATAACTGTATTTTAATTTCGATGAACAAATTTTAAAAACGCTTAATTTAAAAATTGGATATTGCTTGACTGAAAAAACAGGCCTATTTAAATCGCTTTGTTTGAATCAGAAGTCAAAAGCCCGAAATTCAACTGTGAACAAGTTTTAAAGCTTTTTGAATTAGATAACATGTGCAAAAATATGTTAGACGATAAGTACTTGCTTTGGAAGAATTCGTATAGCTACAGAAAAGGTTTTTCAAATTTAGACAATTGTTATTGTTCCGGATTTCGTAACGAAAGTAACGAAATATTTGTGTTGGAGGTGGTTTTTTCTTCAGACAAATTTTGACTTTTTCATCAGCCATTTTGACGGGATTTGTAAGTATCAATCAAAAGGTATTGTTGTCCCGAGCTTAACGTGAAAAGATATGTCACCGTTGATCATCTTTGGTAAAATTTTAGTTGTTTAAACATAGCCAATTTTTGCCAAATTAGGACAATTAACGCGCGATATATTTCGCGCTATTAACGAGTAAGCGGAGATTTAATCCGTCTTAGAAATCGTTCCAAATTGGTTAAAGGAAGCTATTTGCCATAAATGATACGTTACAAGGAGCGAAATCTATCGTTTTCTAATTTATATGGCGTTTGAAGATTTTTTTACAAAAAATCTCAAATTAAGAAGAAAAAAATCATTCTATTTTGTAACATTATTTTTTTTTCTCACTGCTCCATATACCTTAAAGTCGGAACATTCAGGTATTCGCCCTGATACGAGCAGTCTTGTTTTTTTGGCAGAAAAAATTCCTGCTACAAGTTTTGCTCGTTCAGCGTACACACAAAATTTCAAGCACATGCTTGGGACGAAAAATGTCCGGAGTGCAAATCCTGACAGGCACTGTTTTATTTTTTGCTTCTTGGAAAATTTTGATTGTCTGACAATCACTCGTTTGCTTTTTTTTGTCGGCTGGTTTTCCGATGGCGTTTTCTTCTAACTTAAGTTAGTCATTTTGATTTTTTTCTGTTTTTGTTGGTTATCAGCTTCAGATTTGTATAGTTTCTGTTTTTATTTTGTTTTTTTTTTGCTGGCAATTTTTTTTCGTCCTAAAAAAGTGACTACAATTTGTGTTAATTCAAAAATTGCCTTGAAAAAATTTAGTTCTGTGGTGTTACATTGGTTCAGTCGCCTCACATTGCTTTCTATGAAGGGCAGAAATACAGAGCTGATTTAAATTAACCGGACAAAACGCGTTAAACTTGAAATATAAAACGCGTTTTTCTCAAATTAGGTTGCGTTTAGGTGAAAACTTATGTCGACAAAAGTTGCTTAAAATTTCAGCAGAATTAATACGGCGTACTTTGTTTCGCAAAATTCTGGCCCAAAATTTTACCCCAAAAATGGGGCATTTTGGATTTTCTTAGTTAATCAAATATTACGCCCAAAAAACCAAGTGGATCACAGACATAATTATATCAAAGTGAGCCCCTTACGTAGCCCAACAAACTTTAAGAAGGATATTTTCTTTAAAAAAGTTTGCAAACCGTTTAAAAATTGTTTTTAAATAAAAAGTTGGTATTTTATATAATAAAAACGACCTTTTTTGTCTGTCAAACAAAAATAAATTAACTTATACAATGTTTTGGAGAATACACCCCTCTTAAAAATTGTTGGGCTACGTATGGGGCTTACTTTAATATAATTATGTCTGTGATCGACTTGGTTTTTTGGGCGTAATTTTTGATTAACTAAGAAAAGCCAAAATGACCCATTTTTGGGTAAAATTTTGGGCCAGAATTTTGCAAAACAAAGTACTCCATATTAATTCTGCTAAAATTTTAAGCAAATTTTTTCTTCATAAGTTTTCACCTAAACTCAACCCAATTTGAGAAAAACGCGTTTTAAATTTCAATTTTAACGCGTTTTATCCGTTTAATTTAAATCAGCACTGTAGTTTGGTATGCGTGTGCGCTTCAATTGGCGTTCAAATCGCGAGAAAAACTTGCAGATGAAATTTTGTCATGGGTATGTTTTTTTCTCTCATCCGCGTTTACCCCAGTGATGAAGCCTTGGTTACCGCTTAACAAATTTTGACTGAAAGCTATTTTAACGCGTTTTAACGCACATTTTTTTTAATATACATTTTTTTAGCATTTGATGCTACATTTAAAGATATTTCTCTCATTTTCTGTCGGCTAATTTGCCGCGCTATTTTTTTGTTGTATCGCAAAAGGGACGAAGCTCCGTTTCGCATTTGTTTTCTTAATTTAAAAGCATATCAAAAGTTTCCTGTGGTTTGCATTAAAGAGCGGAACAGCCGTTCGTGCGTCTTCTACGGTTGATTATTTTTGGCAAAAAAAGAATCAGCTTAAGGCTACTAAGTCACGTGGAAAACGTTTACCATTTCAGTTCTTGCTTCTTTGAAACAATCCAATTGTTTTTGTTTGTATTTTTTATCCTTTATGTGGTACGGAATTTCTCTTCGCCTGTGTTCTAAGTTTAATAGCAGATGAAAACTCGAGGCAGTTAACATAATGGTAACCCCTACCGTTGCAAAAAAGTGCGTGAAAACTTCCTCTCAAATTTCAAGTTCACACAAAGCACGTCTAAATTTGAGCTTTTTATTTATGCAACGATTGCATTCAGGTGTCGCCATGTGAGCAGTGGGGTGCTTGTAATCTGGGCTGTGATTGGGATGTCCGCTTCCCAGACAGCTGCACGTGTCCGGAGGGGTCTGTGAAGAATGACGTCACTGGCCAGTGTGCCATCCCTACTACTCAAGGTATATCTTGAAATCCTGATGCTTCAAAGAGCAAGCTCTCAAATTTTGCCGAAACCTTTTACGTTTTATGACCACTCTGCATTCAATTTAGGCTTATAATATTTTACCTCAGTTATTTAGGCAGTAGAAAGAAGGGAACCAACTAGATGGGGATTTGAGGGTGTTCGTTGCATAGACATGATTCGTCTCTATTTCCAATTTAATCTTTTTTTTCTGCGCTGTGAGTCTGGTGCAGCTGTTAACAGACTAATGAACAGACTAATTAGCATGTGCAGGTACATCCCTGCTTTGACACGCTTAAAGATTTTATTCTTTTCTATTTCAGAATCAGTGAAGGTCGTGGGCGTGGATGGGTTTGACTTGAGGGCCTGGACTGTGGGATCCATGTCCAGAGTGTCTGACGTTGGATTCTCAATCAGGTCTAGTTCCGATGACACTGTCGTCTCTCTGGCTGCCTCTCCAACTAGACAGATGGTGTTCTACGCTCACAACCCCGGCAGATTGGTTAGTTACATATGATAATTACTGAGTTATTGGTCCCTCCTTGCATGTACATTTTGTATCTCTTGTAAACATATGGGAGTATAATGAGTGGAATGTAAATATTTCCCCTTTTTTGCATGTTTTAGTTTTGTCACCCAATTTTGTATCAAGCATGCATTTGAAGCCAGTGATGTCCATTTAAATACCCGGGTTGACCAAAAATGCTTATCATACAATTCTCATAAATGGGAAATTTCTTTTCATACAACTCCATACAATTCCATACGTACAGATAATTGTATGAAAACTTTATGATAAACATTTTTCCAGAAATGGAAATTGTATGATAGGGATTTTCTCCATAAACCAAAAAGTTGGTTTTTGTTGCTACATTTTTTTCTGACAAATTTTCGGTTGTGTTTTCAACCGAGCACAAGTGACAAAGACCTTGGTTACGCAAAGCAACAAAGGTTGGACGGTCTTGCATTTACAATGCATAGAAAACGACCTGAATTAGGCTGTCTTTCACAATTGATATAACAAAAGTAACAAACTTATATTTTTTGGCAAACTTTTTTAATGATGATTTTATTAAATTTTTGAATTTTCAAATTATCAGACATTGATCAAGGCGTACATCAACTTCCATACAAAAGAAAGAGGAATTTTCAGCGTTTTTGAAAGAAAAAAATTAAGTGAAAAGAAAATAAAAGCCAATTTTATCGTATCCAGGACTACGTTATGCACACAAAATATTAAACTGTTCAACTGTTCTCAAGAAGCCGCAGAAATGGTTTAATTTTTTTTCTATTGTTTTTCGAAAATGTATGAAAATTGTATGGCAAGCATTTTCTCTATACACTTGATGTATGGAATTGTATGATAATGACTTTTGTTGTATGGAATTGTATGATAAGCATTTTCGGTGTATGGAGGTCAACCCGGGTAGACAATATAAATTAATCATTTTTTTTGATTTTCTGTTTTTTTAAAGAAAAATCACTGACTGTTTCTAACTTACCTTTCAAAATATTGAAATTCTGGTTTGGTGAAAGCCAGGTTTCGGTGCAACATATAACGCTAGGCAAATAATTTAGTTGAGTTAGGCTAACTTGAAAGTCGTCTAGGTTTTTTGGTAACAATCTAATATTTTGCAAAAAGAACCTGCTCAGTGGTATTCATCATATACTGCTTTGTGTGTCTTTGCTGATCTGAGATAGAAAAAAAAAATCAATGATGGTCAAAAAATTAGCCTGTGCAGGTACATCCCTGCTTTGACACGCTTAACGATTTTTTTCTTTTCTATATCAGAATCAGTGAGTGTAAATACTTCCCCCTCGTTGCATGTTTTAATTTTGTCACTCAATATTGTATCAAGCATGCATTTGAAGTAGAAATATCCGACACCAGTGATGTCCACTTAAATAGACAATATAAAATGATGAATTTTTTTGATTTTCTGTTTTTTAAACGAAAATCACTGAGTGTGTCTAATTTACACTTTATGGCATCTATTGTAGTTCATTTTTTTCAATCAATCAGTTAATTACTCTTTTCAAAGAGTCTTTTCAAAGAGTCTTTTCAAAGAGACTTTTCAAAAAGTCAGTCCGCAATAATAATAAGAAAATTGAATTTCAGCTAATTTTAACTGCATATCTTGAGAGGATTTCGAAAAGGCAAGTTTGCCTGTCGAGTGGAACCTCTATGAACAAACAGTTTCTTCATGCTAATAGGATGATTATATGTGGTATCCAAGGATGCAACTCTAATAACTCTCTTTTTGTTTTCACTTATTTACCTAGGCTTTCATCGGGTTACTGCCAGTTGCGCTGTACTGCCCGTAGAGTAACCCTGATGCAGTTTGTTAGTTCATTGATGTTCTCTAAATTGTATCTAAATTCAAATTCAAATTCTCGCTAGAAAAAGTGAAAAAGGAGAACGAAAATAAACAAGATGAAAACCAGGAGATGAGGGGTCCCAGAAAATCTCATTTGATATGTTTGTCCAATTATCGGACAGACACTGGCATGCTAATGCATCAAACTGATTGAGATTGTTGTTAACAGCAGAACTTTGAAAAAGAATTAGATTGAGTTCCCAAAATTGCGATTTCCCAAAGAATTAGATTGAGAATTGCGATTTCCAAGCAAAAAAAGAGTGGTTCGTTACAAAAAATTACAGCTTGATAAGATATTTTATAGACGAGATATTTTTTAGACGATGATTCTCAGAAAACGCTACTTGGAAACAACTCATAAATCGTCCGAAGCAGACCGAGAATATAACGGGGTTTTTCGTCGTTATAGACGCTTTTTTTCTTGACTTGAAATTCTTGACTCGCATCAATTTCTGCAATTGTTTCAGGAGCGATATGGAAAACTGTTCGCCCACTCTTTTGCAGACAACCCATGGGTAGCGAGACCTCTTGGCAATGTATACTTCAAAGATGCGGGACAGATGGCTTATGACTGGATTGCCGATAATCTGTACCTAGTCGACAAGGCACTCGGTCAAATTTTGGTCATATCGGGACCCCATTATGATCAGTCAAGCACTGTGGTGGCCCACGAGTTGTTCCATCCGTCGGGTGTGGCTGTAGACCCAATTGAAAAGTATGTCTCTTTTCCACTCCCACATTGCAAGAGTTTTTTTAAATCAATTATGTGCTTGCTTATCACAACCTATTGCTCATTGCTATCACGTTGAAAAGAAAAGATGTTCAGGATACTTAACGCGATCTCAAAGATAAGTTTAAAATTCTTCCTTTTGTGCCAACCATTGAAAACGTGTGTTGTAGTTTTTTGTTCCGACCATTGAAAATGGGGAGGAACTTCGTATCCGGGTGCTCAGTTTTTTCTTTTTTTCCCCATGATAATCAGGTAGCACAATAAATAATCAGAATAGGTTGAGTGATATATCATATTAAAGCCCTTTTATTCAGGATTCGAACGACATTGAAAAATTTCCAAAAATTTTTCTCAGCGTCGAGAAAGACCCGATGAAATTTTTCATTTTTGGTCAGAAGCTCGAATTCAGACCAAAAATGAAAAATTTCATCGGGTCTTTCTCGACGCTGAGAAAAATTTTTGGAAATTTTTCAATGTCGTTCGAATCCCGAATAAAACGGCTTTAATATGATATATCACTCAACCTATTCTGATTATTTATTGTGCTACCTGATTATCATGGGGAAAAAAGAAAAAACTGAGCACCCGGATACGAAGTTCCTCCCCATTTTCAATGGTCGGAACAAAAAACTACAACACACATGTTTCAAAAGATGTCCCGTTGTCTAAAAAAACTGAATGCCAAATATACTTAAGTTCTAGGCTTTCTTCAGATCTTTTTATCACACCACGCACAAAAAGCGACACTCATGTGGAAAGTAAAGAAAAATTTTCTAAATAGTTTTTCTTAGCAATATGGTCACAAAATTCTTACCGGCCATCCTTAATTTATATTTTTTTCGTTTTTCACGCAAGTGTTCAAGCGTGGCGCAATAGTTTGAGCTGAACATTCTTCCAAGTTTAATTGAGTTGAGCTGATTAGTTTCATTAATTTCGTTGAAGACTCAAAACAGTGGTTTTTTATTCAGATTATTTGCGACTTAATTAAACCTTTCGAAGTTTTTTTGTATACAATCTGAAAAATATAAATGCGCTAATTTCAAATAAAAAGTATCTTGCCTATCATTAACGCGGAGCGAGTAAGGTTCATTATTCCGGCTCAGAAGTCTTTTTCAAATTGAATTTTGCCACTTTAATTCATCCCAATAAGGTTTTGGTAGAGTAGATGCTCCTTATATCCTTTTTTTTTTACTTTACTTAAGTGAAGGAAGTACATAATTGAGTCACTTTTTACTCTGCATGACGGGAAAGATTTTCAAAAAGTTTTATTGAAATATTTGACTAAATTTGTGTGCAGACAGATAGCCTAAAGGTAAATTGTAGCTTTCGTTCTAATACGAGGAGTCTTGTTACATTTGGTACGTGATATTGGACGTGCAAGCAAAAAAGAAAGAGGGTAATTATTCAAAATTTTGGATTTCTCTTCTATCAAGAAATATCCCAAACAGTTTAGGAGGCATTCGGACAGACAGAACTGTAATGAGACCAGCAAGCGACAGTCTTGTTTTAGATGCCTTTTTTCTAATACAAATAAATACGGTAATTTCAAGTTGCGAGCTTGCGAGTAGTGAAATTTTGTTTGGCCATTCTGCATTTTTTTTCATCGCCCTGACCTCAAATGTACAACCCTGCGATTGAATTTAATAAAATTTTGATGATCTGAAAGTTGATTGTTTGTCACTTTGCCGGGCTAAATTATGCGCGATTTTATGTACTGATCTATGACGATCCATCCGTAAGCACAACTTTTGTGGGCGGAAAAATAATCAATTTTCCAGCGCACTTAAATAATCATTCCAAATTAAATTAAAGCAATTCACTTGGTCACGTAAAATGGTATTCGGGTGGTGCTTCAGTTTTTCCCCCATGATAATCAGATACCATAATATATGATCAGAATGGTGAGTTAGGACCGATGTGGTTAACTCATAGAGTAATTTCGGATAGGGTACACCGTCTGCTCGTCACGCTATCTTATTTTCGGCCGGATAGATTCGTGCAACTTCTTAGTCTAATACCGATCCTAATCTTACTCTTATACTTTCTAGTCTCAGGGTGTTTAACTAGTCTCTGCTAGGCTCAATCGATCTAGGGTATACTGGTTTGTTGCGGCTGCTGAAGTTCTCTTGGAGAGACAACTAATTTCAAAGTTAAATTCAAATCTCTCTGGTGCTGAAATTACAAGTAATTTCAGCACTTACAAATAAGTGGGTTGTTAGTTAGATGGATCATGATTGGTTAATATTAAATACTTTACAGTGGTAAAATATCTAATTTATCCAATCATAAAATATAGTTTAGATCAGGTTCCACCCATCCGGGTTTTACAGAGTTTTTTAGAATTATCTTTCTGCAATTCAAAGGATGGATGATGAACGTTGGTATTTGGCGAACATCGTATTCTTGTCCGGTTCCTCTTGTTAGAGAAGTTCCAGGACGCTGGAGTTAGGGACATCAATCGTTGTGTCGTCTTGTGACAACGACTGTGTTTCCCAATGAAATCAATCTGATTTCAAAATGGTTTGCTATGACGGGTTTTTCTGTATTATGTAGAGAACTTGTTTTGTGTTCAACCTCGTCTGGGAATGGCGTGGAGATTGTGTGTGGAAGGGATGCCTTGTAACTCGGATCTGTACGTATACTTGAACATCGAGGGGGTCATTGGTCTAGTTCAATGAAGTCCTTTTCTGCGAAGTCAAGTCGTACTCTAAATCCTTTGAGTTGTGATTGTGGACGGCATATCGGTTGTGGTTAGCCATTCTTGTTCGAGTGTAACGGGATCATTTTGTCTCTGGATGTTCGTCTTTGTTGTTGTGTGTTGATCTATATACTGCAAGCTATGATTTACATTTTATAAAATTTTTATTAGTTTGGTTTTTTAATCATGAATTTAGTTAGTTGTTTTCACAAAAGCATTTTGTTTTAGTTCGGTTATTTTGAAGAGTTACTCACCCTTGAGTACCTCTTATTAAAAATAGAAGTGTGGTCACAAAGCGTGGATGTAGCGCGGTGGGTTAGGCCGGCTATAGAGCATGCTCAGGACGTCCTCTCTGGTGGGTTAGGCCAGGAGTGGGAGTATGGTTTCGTGCGGTTTCTCTGAGAGGTCCTGTTATGTGATAACGTTTTATGTTGGGTATATGTTGGTCTTTCTTATGTTTCTTTGGTTGTGGTCCTTTTTTCAAAAATCAAATTGTTTTTGTTATGGGTTTGTCTTTCGACTTTTTTGTGTTTTATTATTTCTTTTCTTAGACTTTATAATAGTCTTCAAAAGAATAAATTATCCAGTTTTAAACAGGGTTAATCCGGTTTGGGTACCGTTGGTTTTCTTTTCTTAGTCATGCTGTTATTTTATGATTTGTGGTGTTTAGTAAGCTGCGTTGGTTAGTTTGGTTTAGTATATAATTCCTTTCCAACCGGATTAAAGGAAAGTTTGAAACTTGTTATCGTGTGGTAGAGTTGTTGAGTGTGAAAACTTGAAACTTAAAATCATTATTTAAACAATTCTTCGTGGGCGAGCTGTGCGAGTTTGGATAGAATTCCTGTGCGAGTGAATGAAAATATCAAAAGGTTAGTACTGCATTTTCATTTTATCAATTTATTACATAGAATTTCAATTTTACTGCTAGTTTTGGGGGAAATTTAAAGTTATAAATTTTCATCATAATTAAATTTATTGCTTTATGGGGGAATAATTTATAAATTAATTGACTACATTTAGTATGAATTTTATCAGATTATCTTGTGTAAAATATTAATGAAGTTTAGAAGAATTTTAACAAGTTTATTTTTTATTTTTTTTTTCTGTTTTTTGCAGATGATCGTGGTATGAAGACTAAAAATGTAAAAGAAACATGAGTAAAGAATGGTTAGTACTATTTTTTAATTTTTTTAGTTAAAAATATTTTTAAATTTTACTTACCTGTTAATCGTCTGGGAAAAAGCCGTGGGGAAAGATGTCGTGTATTATGTCTGAATTTGTTTGTAGTTTTTCTAGTATGCGAATGATGTTTTGAGTTTGGAGCAGTGGCCGAGGCAATTGAAGTGCTTAAATGGTTTTTAGTTCTTCGGTGCCTACTGCAAACTCATAAGGTGTGTTTTGAATGAGGTTATATATTTTGTGATTATATTTAGTATTGTGAATAAATTCTAATATTGGGATTTCTATAGGTTGGATAAATTCATGTGGGATAAGGAAGGGTCTGGATTCTTTGGCATTAAAGGTCTTCGTGATGGGACAAAATATATACATTTGTGTTACTGGGTCATAATTGCGGAGGATGCCGTGGAGGTTAGTATCCTTGATGCAATAGATGAAATTAAGAAAAAACGGTGAAGTGTACTTCGAGTTAAGAAACTGAAAACGATGGTGTGGTTGTCTTGATGGAGTATGAAAATCAAAATGATTTTGTATAAAGCGATAGTATGTATATGTATGAGTCTGTTTAGTGCGTAACATAATGTCGTGTGAACAGTGCAAATCGCGTTCATGTGGTGCAAGGAAGTGAAAGGTGAGTGAAAACAACTGAAATTTTTCTTTAAAACTTTCGTAAGCTTGAATATCAGTTAGTGCTTCAGAAATGATGTGATCATATTTTCTATCAAAAATATTAAGTGTGAATATATATGACGTTTTGATGAAGAATTTTTCTGTTAGTTGTGGGTTAGCGAAGCGGTCGTCATCTAGAAATTGGTCGTGATTAGTTCGGATGATATTATGGTCGTAATATTCTATTGTAAATTCGTTAGCTCGGGATGTAGTGAATGTTTTTAGTGATTTTTTATATCCTATATAAGTAAATTGTCTAGGTGTTAGTGTTGCGATGAGTCTATATAGCATATCTTTATTCTTTTCTATATCGTTATGAGTACTAGATAGTGGCAGGTAAAGGGGATTAGTAAAATGGTAATATGCTGTCCAATGAAGTGTTGGCATTAAAACATGTTCATCTACAAAACTACGTGTGTCGTTAGTGTCGTTAGGTGTGCTTAAAGTATATTGTGGGAATGAGGGTAAGGTGATTGCTAGAAAATCTTTCGTGTTGGTGTGGTGTGGATGATTAATATATTCGCAGGCTGTTCCTGGTTTGGTCGGGAATGGATGGTTCGGGAATTTTCTTTTAAAAGTGCGATAAGCTCGGTGAGTGCTATTTGATGATTCGGTGGATGTGGATGATTGTGCTAATGATGCAGTGTAAGCTGAAGAGGGTGTAGGAGTAGGTGGGTTTGAGGATTCTATTGTGGATGAAAATTGATTTATAGTGAGGATGTTAGGGTGTATTAGCTGTTGTTGTAGGGTGATAAAATTATCGAGTTCCTGGGAGATTTGGGGGGTATCTGGAGAATTATTAGATGATCGGTCGGAATGAAATGGAGAATAGGTTGGGGTTACTTGTGAAGCATAAGAAGGAGTAGAAACGGATGGGAGTGGGTTATTTGGTGGGATCGGTTGAAAAGGGGGTTTTGAAAAAACTGAGGAGTTGGTTTGAAAATTATTGGATGGAGATGGTTCGGAGTCTGCAAATTCGTCAGGGGTTTCTATATTAGGGTTATTAAGTTGTGAAATGGAGTATAAAACTGAAATATCTGATTTAGTATCCGAATTCATGCTTGATGATATATTAATAGTTGGAAAATCGGGTGGCGGGAAAGCAAAAAGTGGGATTATTGGGATTGGAGTGTGGAGGTTGGTTGGATGGGAATTTGAGCAGTGTAGGGATCCAAGTTGTCGGCTCATCGTGGGCTAAAAAATGATTATTTTGAGACTGAAAAGCGGTGGTATGGGGTTGTTCTATAATTTGTTCATATGTATTATCATCTTGTGAATGATGTGTCATAATATGTTGTATGGGACTTTCGATATGTTTTTTCTAAAATTTGGGTTATGTGTTATTGCTAGGTTTCGGAAATTACGTGGGACTAAGGATAGTGGATGGTTATGTGGTAGGGGTGGCAACTATGGTGCGGTAGGTGTTACTTCTATGTTATTATGTTCTTCGTCGTATGTGTTCTGTCTTGTCGCTATTTTTGTATTATATTCTTTTATTTGTGCGTCTAGAAGAATTTTGTTAATTGATGATGAAAAAATTCCAAAAAATCCTGCAAATAGTATGCGTGCTACACTTGCTTGTCTATTTACTTGTGTGTGTATAGCGCATGTGTTATAGATTCCTTTTAAAAGTGAAAAAAGAAATCCTTTAAAGTTAAACATTGCGTATAGGATAGTTAATTTTTCTAAGATGTAATAGGGCCATCCTAGAAAATCGAGAATTTCATTTTTTAGTGTAACAAAGCTATAAATATTTATTGGTGA